GAGATGGGCGGGGACAAGCCTACTAAATAAATAAACAAATAAACAAATAAACAAATAAATAAATAAACTGTGACTTAAGGTTTGATTTGTTTTTCGACATTTTGTGAAATAATTTTGACTGTCACAGTGATATGCAAATATCCTGTTACATTTAGTCTTCTCTGAATTGAAGTGGGTAACAAAAAAAACCCCTTAGGATGAACAAAGAATTTCTCTTCAAGGATGATGTTTTCTCATGCTGAATGTATTTTCCCCATTATTTTAGCTTCTTTACATTGCCACCAGAAATACTAAAAGGCTTGTTGTGGAATAACAATTCCATGCCCAATGAGTAGAGGAGGCCAACGGGTAAAGAGAAAAGTTTACTCTGTAACAATAGGTGGATTAGTCCTGCAAGAACAGATGCAGCCATCAGGATGCTTACAGCCCTCATAAGCATGCAGGGCATGATGCATCCATTTCTTATTGCTTTCGCCTTCTATGGTTACAGTGTTTGCATACGATCTTTGATTAGTTACTTCCCCGTCTTAGAATACCTTGACATGTGTACTAATTTATTACTTTGATTTCCTTGTCTGTTTAGAGATAATAGATAATTTTCCTTGCAGGCTTTCTTTATTGCCCTTTCTTTCTTTATTGCACTTTCAATAAATACCAGGATAATCCAGCTCTATCTTTGATTTGGTGGACCATCATCTCTTCCAACTACAGTATTCGAATTCCCCAGAATGTCCTCCCAAATTGCAGAAATATCTGCATAGGCAACAAGACAAATAATTTTTCTGTGTTAGTCTTATATCAGGTGTGTCTATATTTTCTTGCCTTTATTTCCTCCCCCTTAGGGGGGAAATCAAACACTTGTTTAAGGAAATATCATGTATTTTGGATATTGGCTTTTGTAAAATAAGTTATTCTTCACAGAGACACAGATGCAGATGAATTCTTGTTTAATTGCTGATGGGTTTCTTTTCCAAAGCCAACATTACCCAGAAGAGCATCACCCTGTGCTGAAAGCAAGGCTGATGGGGAAGTGAAAGAAGAAATAAAGTACCTAGATGGAAAGGTAAGACATTTTAGGTGTATATAAAATCAGACAGCATCGACCAGTGTTATACATATCCTATGCTGAATAACAAATATGGACTTTGGAAAGCAGTACTTGCTTGAACACATGCTTCTCTTTCTCTCATTCTCTCTCTCTTTCTCTCACCTGATCAAGCCATCATGCTGAAATCCTAAATCATGGTTAATTGGGCATAAACTACAGGGTGACACACCAACTTTCTTCACTGCTATCATATCTGTCTCCTCTTGATATTGAAATCAACTCTTGTTCTATTTCATCTGTGAAACCAAGAGGACTAGTGAGGCTCCTTAGTGTCAATGCAAATAGAAGGCCAACTGTGCAGTGTGTGTGTACGGTATATGTGTGTGATTCATTTTCTGCCTCTATCTTCCCTGTTTCAAATGTCTCCCCCATCTTCACTCCTCTGTTGCTTTTTGACTTTTAAGGTGGCTCAAAATGTGTCCAAGCCAGTGTGCATTTTGAGCTCCAAGCAAGGAAAATCAATGTGGGTACTTGTGCATATGTAATATGGATCAGAAAAGCTGCAGGTGGGGAAAGAGCTTAAGGTAAATGATGCAGGGGCTTCAGAACAATGCAGGTTCAATTTGCTGGATAAAAGACAAGTCACATAAGGGAGCTGCCTTTTATACATAGCCTTAATCTGAGGTTGTGCTGGCGTGCTGGGCAGCTAGTTTCACTTGGCACATGCCTTGAAAAATTTATTAGCTGGGAGTGTGTTCTCCATCTGCTCTCTGAGAGGTCTTGCATGATTTCCTAGGTGCTCTCTGCATGCAGTGAAGCTAACTTCCCGTACAGCTGGTTTGCGTACGATGGGGGTCACATAATGCGAAAATTAAACTCTTATAGACATATGTCTCTGCCATATGGTAATTCATCAACGTGCAAATTGGAGCACCCCATGCAGGACTGGAAGTCTCCAAGGAGATGCAGATTATGCTGACTTGTAGAGAAATTGAATTTTTAATGCAATTTGTGCCAGACATGGATCTCATAAAATCAGCCTTTGTGACTGGCAGCAGGATTCTTTCTCTCCACTGTAAAAGCCTTTTAAGGAAACCTTGAGATTGCTGCCCACACATTTACTGAAAGGTACTGAAAATTTCTATTTTGAAAATCTGTCCTTTCCTCCTGATTCTTTTTCTAAGACAAGCTTTGCAGATGTACTGTATGTTACATCTGTCCCAAAAAACAGTTAAAAGGCAAAGGAGATACAGCTGTAACACAGGGCAAGTGTCAAAAAAAGAAGCACAGATGTAAGAGGAATAACTGGTTAAACATAGTTTTTTATACAAAGCTTTATAATAAAAGTTATTTATAACTAATGATGATCATAGAGCCTAATGGGTTGCAGATCTTTATCAGCTTTATAATAATACACTAATGTAATTTGTGCGAGTGTAGCCAATGTAGATGCTGAGATTTTATTATGATCATTTATGGATTTATTTATATATTTAAGCAGTCTGTATAGCTGCCCATCTCTCAAGAGTGACTATAGGCAGTACACAGAGTATTAAAACAAAAACTCCGCAAAACCCCTAACAACATAATATACAAAATAAAGCATCCAAAATAATAATCCAAAATAGTAATAACAATCATCCATTTTCAGTCAATAAAGACCAAAGGAAACAGAACTGGTTTAGCCTCGTAACTCAAATTCCTGAGGGAACTTCCAGGTCTTTAAGCCCCCCTCCCCACCACCTCTTTTCTGCTTTGTAGAATATAGTTTATAGGAAAACACTTATTCAGTGAGTTTGAGTTGAGTTTTGTAAGATTTGAGTGAGATCCTTGCACTGATAAGCAACTTTGTTTCCATTCTCACAAGAATTGCTGGGAGTCGAGTGGCATATAAATTTAATAAATTATTATATTTGGTCGCACAGTCAGCCAGATGTTTAGACTGGATTTGGCATTTTTATCCACCTATCAAGTCCTTCCCACAGACCTGGGATAGGCAGATGTTGTTGTCTGATGGTGTTAAAGGTATCATTGCAGGATATAAGCTG